GACCTGCAGGGCAGCTGCCTCGGGAGCGCTTCTGCTCTGCCTGCGATGGCTGAGGCGGCGGCTCGCCGAGCGCGCTCCGAGCTGTGCGAACAGAGGAAGTATGTGCCAGTTAGAAGCGTTCCGCCGGCCACCTCGTCGCAGCCGCGGCGCAAGGTCTTGGAGCCCGCAGACCTGAGGCCCGACGCCTCCCTCGTCGGCTTCCACTAATAACTTATTAAATAGGGACGATTTAGAGTTGATCTGTCACTGAGCACTACTTACCCTGAGATCTTTGGGTTTCTGAATTACTTTATTGATCTGAAGATTTTGTTCTTTGGAATGTGACCCTGTTTGGACTTAGAGCTAATCAGGAAACGCTGCCGGGGAGGGTGCTTTGTAACCACTTTGCCTACCTCCCCCCGGGCGCCGCCGACCCTTCCTTGACGCGCTCGCTGCGGCAGCCTAGGCTTTACCCGGAACCCGCCAGCCCGGGTTACCTAGCTCCACCGGGTGCCCTGGGAGCTGTCTGTGGTGCTAGCAGAAAGAAACCAGGAGCGGGAGACCCAGTGGACGAGACAAGGAGAGGAGGAGACAAACTGAGAATGTGAGGTTGACCGAGACGGTCCACCCAGCAACACTCAAACTGACAGAGACCTTCAAAATTCAGCCGGAAGGAGCGGGGGAAATAGTCCCATCTGGGTCATCTCATCGCCCCGAGACAGCTGACCGGTTTTCTAATCCACCTCCCTTTCTCTGAAAGCACACCTCCCCACAGCCCCACACACCCCTCTTACTTACCCCTACCCAGCCCTGCGGATGAGGTAAGAAGTCAGGGCACTCAGCACTGGACCCTAAGAAGAGTCCCTAACTCCAGAAAAAGACACAAATGTTAGCAAAGAAGCCTGGAGATGACCAAAAATGGGACTGGACAAAGACCTAGTGGGAGACTCAAAGAGCTTGGGGATATTGTTCCAGAGTCCATAGGAGTAATCCTGGAGAAGCCCCCACTCACTCATCTGCCCACACCTCTCTCTAGTCAACAGCCAGGGTACAGGGCAAGCCCAAATTCCCTACCAAGAATTCAGAGATGCAAAAGAAACATCAATTCCCTCCAAGGCTTGACCCTGCCCCGATCATGTCCACCAGTGGTGAAAAGTCTCATTCTTTCCAAGCATGTTGACTTCAAGCTTGGTTTTTTCAAAAAACAGGCAGCTCTCTTCCAGTATATTTTTGTAACCACGTGACTTAACAAGAACTAAAGTTTCCCTTGCCCTGGGGAGATCTTTTCCAAATATTTTTAGAAAGTTAAAAATATAACAAAACAAACTACTCACAAGTCACTTGTTTAAAGAGGGGAGGTGGGATCCGACAGACTCCTGGGGAAGGGCTGCCTAGGCAGGAGTCAGATGGCAGGGAGGGAGGAGGAGGGAGAGTAAGCAGTTTTATTTGCAAGGGAGGAAATCAGCTGTCTAATTTGCCATCGTGCGGGCTTTCATTTTAAGGGGTGGAGCAAAATTAAACAGATACAGGGTGGTAGGTATCTTTGCTGGAGGCATTGAGCCAAGAAGCAATCACTACTTTGCAACTCATTGAAAAATCACTAGTTTGGGCTAGAACAGCTGGCTGCTAGCCAGGGAGTTAACTTCTTCCTTCACACTTACTACAGATTTGTGCTAGGTTTGCTGGGGTCCCTGAGCTGATCTTGGTGTTGGCAAATCTAAGAGGCCTTTGTAGGTCTTTAAACGTCTCTCTGAAATACATTTGTATTACTGTGTTTCTGTAGGAAGCAAAGATTGTCACTGAAAGTCCCTGTTTTTCTAGCCTTCGACTTAATCAAAGGAGCAATCTAAACAGAGTCCAGCCACAGAGTGCCCTTCAGACACCAGCTGAAGGTGGGAAAAAAGAAAAAGAGTACAGCTCCCAGGGACAGCTGTCCTCTGGTTCTCTGTAACTCCAGATTTCCCACGAGAATAGGCCTCTGCCTGTTACCTTGTTCCTCATTTCTCAGAAAACCTGGGGTTGCACTCTTCACCTCCTAGCCAACCCCTCAATTTAGTTGAGCAGGCACAGAAGGAAAGAAGGACCCTTTGTGAAGAAAAAAATTGGGTTTGCATTTGACTTTTAAGCAAGTGACTTTTGAATACTAGGGCACCTGCTGAGGTGCCCTTTGCAGTACTGCTGCAGAAAAAGAAAAGAAAGAAAAAGAAAGAAGGAAGGAAGGAAGGAAGGAAGGAAGGAAGGAAGGAAGGAAGGAAGGAAGGAAGGAAAAAAGGAAAAGGGGAAAAAAGAAAAGAGAAAAGAAAAAGAAAGGAAAAGAAAGGAAAGGAAAAGAAAGGAAAGGAAAGGAAAGGAAGGAAGGAAGGAAGGAAGGAAGGAAGGAAGGAAGGAAGGAAGGAACCAGTCACCCACCCAACTTTTCTTCCTAGGACAATCTCCCCCAGCCCACAACATCCAATCTGCCAACTTGTACGCAACAGCAGGTAACCAAACAGATCTAGAAAGGACATTGACACATTCAGTTGCATGATTTAGGGGGTGAAAGAAAACATGACTTTGAAGAAACTTGGATTTGGGGAGGACTATAATGCATCCTGAGTAATTGCTAGCAGCAGAGGAATATGAGGTTAATTAAGAGATCTTGTCTCTGTAGGTACAGTGCTTCCCCCTGCATTGTCTACCTCAGGAGTTCAAGTTCAGCCTTGAGTGTAAAGCAGCAGTGGGCAGACTTCCCGGCCCACCCTCCTGCAGGTGGCTGGGGACCGCTGGCAGCAAATGGGTGCTCTGGCCTTGTTTGGATTTGTAGTTTTGTGTGTTTTTCATACCTGGATCTGAGTTAATTCTTTGTACAGATTCTTTGTAGGCATGAACTCTGTGGCTTCTCAAATCCCTCCTTGTGCCTAGAGTTGAGCAGCCCTGATTTCAGTACAAACAGAAACTATAGCACCCTCAAACCTTGGAGAGTGCCTTTTTAGGCCTAGGCAGACCACTTTTAAACTGTTTAAACTTGATCAAAAAGCCCAACTGCCAAATGAAACAAGGAGGGTCTGCTAAGTGCCTAGGTATTAGACATCCTAACTAGACATAGCAGCGCCCAATTTCCAGCCAAGCCCAGCTGTCTAAGTTTGTCTCAGCGAAGCAGGCAGAACACGAGAAGGGCCAGTCCAGACCCTTTTGTTAGAATCAAACAAGACCAAGACCAAGTTTAAAGCAAATTGATGAGCTGGAGATAAATCTGCAAACCACTTCCTAATTAGCCAAGATCTGATCAAGGTGCCCCCAGGCAATTTCCACCTGGATTTCACCTTTCTTCTCTTCTTCTTTCTCACCCCTCCTAAATATACATTCCCACATCACTTCACATTTTTAACTACACTAAGGTTCAACCGTCAGAGAAAGCTGGAGGCCAGGTCCAGATGTATTTTAGCTGCTTGTATTACCTCTTTATCACTGTACTAGGGTATGAGTGAGGATAGAAATGTGAGGACACCCACATATGAGATCTGACTCTGGCTACTCGGAAAGTGACCTGGGGGCTAGAGAGGAGTGGGAGCAACCTGGGAACTGTAGCTGTACTAAGTGGCTCCTTCATACAGTTCTGAGCACTGAACCTGGTGGGGAACCAGCCTGATGGGGGGTGAGGGGTGGTGTTTATGGTTGACTTAGGCCAGGGTGCTACAAACATTTACTTACACACACTCACACACACTCCTAAAGCAGGCAGCGGGCCTCCTCCACACTCTGGGCAGGGTCTCCTATTTTGCAGTCCCAGCTGTCCCAAGGGTGCAGATAAAAGGCTTGGCAGCCAGTCTCAGCCTGAGTTCACCCTTGCAAAGGAGCTCCAGGCATCGCAGCACAACGAACTCACTAGGACAAGCGGCTTCGCATGGGGCTGGGGGCTGGACGCCTGCCGCCAGGGACTGAGAAGGCAACGATCAAAGCTGCCACAAGGGTTTGTTAGTTGGGCCTCTCCAAGTCCCCCCGGGGCGTCCTAATTGCTCGTCCCACAGCCTCCCGCTCACAGGCTGTCCGACCGCGCGGGCGCCCAGCCGCGGGCAGCAGAACAGCTGCAAGGCCCGAGGAGAGTCCGCCTGCCGCCCAGCCCCTGTCGGCGTTGTCATCACTGCCCAACGCTTAGGACCCTCGCTGCCCCAGGAAGACCCCTAGGAGGAGGAGGAGTGGACCGAGGGATCACCACACCATCGGTCAAGCGGGGGCCTCTATGCAGGTCAGGACGGCAGCAAGGTTGGTCACCGACTTAGCCAGCACCAACAGCCTACAAGTACAGATTTTCTCCCAGGGCCTCCTGGGTTGCTTTGAAACCATCCACTTAAAGAGAAAGGAACTCACACTTATCAAATAATGGTTCCGAAGAGGCCAGCACAAAAAATGGAGCTGCTTTTATACAAGCCAACCCAACTTCTTTACAGATTTTGTAAATTCCTAATATTTCAGAAGAAATTTGTCATTCTAAACCAAGTCAGCACTTCATCATAGTACATTCTGCTTTAGTAAAATCAGCTCCCTTGGATTTCATCACTTGTTAAAAAAAGATAAACTTTATTTTTGTAATTTTCAATCACAAAAAAATCTATATTTTTGTCTAAGCATTTATTTTACTGAATCAAAAAGACATGAAAAGAAAAATCATGTTTTTACTAACGTATATAAGTGACTCTTTTTGGACAACATATAATAAATATGATATATCACTTATCACTCAGTCTTTCAAATGTACATTTTTTTCATATTATGGAGCATGCCACTTTTCCAAAAGAAAAAAGGTCATGAGAAATCAGTGCAAAGTTCTCAGTTACCCTCCTCTTTTCTCTGGGGCAGACGGAATGTCCTCGGCAACGCCCTTTGCCTCAGCACTTGAGGCTGGCTGTCCATCTACAGTTCTCTCTGCCTGTGCGGTTTCCGCTCCGTGCCCTTCTTTCTTCCCTCCTGAGCCCTCCCCCCTCCCTCCCTCCTGCTTGTCCCTAAAGTCATTTTTTTAAAAGAATCTGAGGTTTTGTTTTTGTTGTTTTCACTTACTGGTCGCACTTTGAGTGGGGTCAGCATTTTCGCCAGTCACACTGCTGTGGGGGAGCTTTCCAGCCCTGTTTCTAGGGGTGGGGAGATGGAGAGCAGAGGGCTGGCTCCTCTTTGGGGGTCCCCGACCCACTGGTAAGCATCTTTCTCTCTTACTCCTCTGCCTTCCAGAGTTGGCTGCAAGGGAGGCCTAGTGGCCTGGAGCGGGGAGAGGAAGGGCAGCAGTCCGGGTTGGGCAGGGATATGGGGAAGGGATTGCAGTGCCTTCCTGCAATGTTTTCACCGGGGGTGTGGGGTGCCCGGGATGGGGCTGGACAAGGGATTAAGGGCTGGCTGTCCCCCAGGCCCTAGGCCGTGGATGAGCACGCGGGGCACCAGGGGCCGCTGCAGCTGGGGATGGGGTGCTGGAGGAGTCCGGTACATGCTGCTGTACATGGCAGCGGCAGCCGCCGCCGCCGTAGTGCTGTCCATGCTGCCCAGCAGGCTTGGGTGATAGAAATAAGGCGATGGAAACATCCTCTGCAGCGCTGAGTAGTTCCCTGCCTCGGCCAGCAATTCCAGGCCCACCGCTGTCTGCCGCTTCCACTTGGTCCTGAAAGAAAGCGGGCGTGCAGGCATGCTGTGGGCATGGTCCAGGCACCAAGACCCAGCCCCTTCTCTGGCCCCTTCCTGCCTCCTCCTTCTTTCTCCCCTGGGTGGCAGGAAGACTCAGAGACCTATTCAAACTGGCAATGCACTACATCTCCTGCTCCAGCCTTGCTCCCAGAAAGACCCAAACCCAAAGCCAGTTTTGTAATTTATACCTTCAATGGCAGAGACCCTCACAAATGAGATCCTACAAGCTTTGCTGCCTTTTCCTAAAGCTCTGCTCTGCTGTTGCCCTCCTTGTAGTTTGACTACTTCTGGAAACTTTCCTTAGGGCCAAAGGAGACTTCCACAAGCAGTCACTTTCCTCCTTCCTTAATTTCCCTTCCACGTCCCCCCACTCCCAGTAATCCCAAAGAGTCTGCTCTCAGCCCCTCTTCCTTCCCCCACAGGCTGAGAGAGAAGAAACCGTAAACAAAAGGATGCAGAGACTCCTAAGTCAGGGACCCCAGCCCCTCTCACTCCCCAGGGCTGGGAGACTTATTTCTCTCATAAGCCTGACAGGACCTTACAGTGGGCAGGGAGCTTAAGGGGAGGATGACAACAAGGTCTCAAAATGGAATTCATTTGAGGGAGGGCTCTCCCAAGGGCAAAGTACCTCCTGGCCATTCTGAGGGGGAAATGCATTTCAAGATATTTCCTCCTCAGGGAGAAAGTAACAATCAAAACCTGTGATCAGCTTTTCTCAGTCTCCTCCTTCCCCCACTGCATACCCTGCTAGGAAGAAGAGAGCAGGCGGTTGCTCAAATGACTTATGAAGGAACGCAGGACTGGTGGGCCATCCATACTAGGCAGCTCCAGCCAAATTAATAAACATGTCGCCCATTTTAAATTGGCTACAAATGACACTAATGTTTTCCGACAGAATTAGGGTGGCTGAAACCGTATGTAATGAGACAGAAAATTATGGTAAAGATGACGACTGGATGGGCATTTCCAACCGCACTTATGGACGATTAGAACACAAGCGAGAGAAAAGGAGGGGGAGAGAAAATCGAGACAAGGAGATGAGTGCCAGTCTTGAAAACATAGCGAAACCTCTGCCTCAGATTGCCCAGGTTCCACTCTACACTTCCCGGCCCAGCAAGCACTACCAGCCACTTTTGCTTTCTTAATTTCCCTTCTAGAGAAGGAGCAGTGCCAGGAAGGTTCTGCAGCACTCTTGCTCCATGTTGAGACAGCAAAGGCAGCCAGTACAGGGGACAGACCCACACTCCCTCCTTCTCCCTGTATGGATGCTTGGCCAGCCGCCGATTCTCCAGCCTGCAGCTGCCAAACCAACTCTAACCCAGCTGGGCTCTCCTAGTCTCTGCAGCTACACTGACCAAGGCTGGGACCCTGCTTCTCCCAGCCGCCTCACAGGCCAAAGCAAGGACATTTACGGCCGAGGCGGCTGGGATAGCTCTGTGGAGATAGCAATAGCTGGGCCGGGCCTTGTTGTCCTCAGCTACAAACCTTTGGAACCAGCCTGGGGCAGGCCCAAGGGGTGCACCGCGCAGGCTCTCTGGACCTGAGTGTCAGCTGCACAGATGTCTCAATTTGAGAAGGTGTGGCTTCATTGATTTGGGGATGAAGTGGGGGGAATTTCAGCGGCTCGGGTTTCAGAGGAAAAGTAACACCTGTTAAAGCACTTAGAAGTGCAAAATTGTCCAAATTCCAGCTGCCCTTTGGTCCCTCTCACCTTGGGGGTGTGGCTCATCCCTACCTCATCCTTAAAGCACCCAAGTGCCCACTCCAGGGTCTCTCTCAGTCCTTAGAGTCTCTGGAGGCCAGGAGAGAAGAAGATTCATGACTTAAATGGCCAGACACCTTTGTTCCCACAAACTGCCTCCCTTACCTGCGGTTCTGGTACCAGGTCTTGACTTGGGTGTCAGTGAGGTTGAGCGCTGCAGCCAGGTCCATGCGATCCTGCACACTCAGGTACTTCTGCCGCTCAAAGCTACGCTCCAGTTGATTGAGCTGGTGGTCGGAAAAAGCTGTCCTTGCTTTTCGAGGCTTCTTGGCTCTCACAGGGGGACTCTCACGGCTACTCGTAATCTCCCGGTCTCCTTCCTCCTTTGTCCCTACCATAGAAACCCAGACACAGTGGTAAGTTAGCCTGGAATGGGGAAGGACTGAGTGTCCTCCTGGCATACACTTCCACATTCCCAAGCCAACCACTGGCCTCGGGGGACTGCACTCTGCCACCCCCAGAACACACACACACTCAGGCCTTAGCCCATGTGGAGGAAGAAGGCTGTTTTCAGACTGCAGAGTGTGGGGCCCTGTTCAGAGGTTCTAAAGGGGGCCTAAAAGGGGGTCTGATCTTCACATGGTTGGAAATTAAAAAGTAAAAATTTTTAAAAATAAAACTTTTAAAAAGGGTTATTTTGTTATTGTTTCCTTGATTGAGAGAGATGCTCTCCCTTTCCTTTATTGTTTTCAGTATTGTTTATTGATCCTTGTTTTTCTGGTAAAGAAATATGCTGACTTTGTTTAACTGATTTGGTACTTTTCAAAGGGTCTTTCTACTCTTTTTTTTTTGTTTTGTTTTTTGAGGAGGGGGCATCTTTTTCATTTTACTTTTTTCTGTTTTCTGAAAGTTATGGGTGTTTTTCTTTTTCAGATGCACCTGGGAAATGTTGGAATCAAGCTTTCTGAAGCCTGCATCGGGTCTTTTAAAGTTTCACAAAGAGTATGTCACCCAAACACCGAGTTGAGCTCAAAATCACTGAGCCTATCCAGGTGACAGCATGGAGATTTCCGGATTCTATTTGTCAACTTTGGTTTTTTACTGAAATGCTGGGAAATCGATATGTCAATCCCTCCCTGTTTGTACCCGTTTGTGCAGTGCTCCTTGATCTTCCCTGCAGGAAGAACAATAATCTCTCTAATTGACCCACTGGGGAGGTTGGTGCACAAAAAATCGCCAGACCAGACTGTACATCTGTTTTGGACACTATTATGCTAATGCTATAATAGTAAAATGAGGAGCTAACGTCCTACCTTCCAAACAGTCAGCATATTTCTTTACCAGAAAAAACAAGATCAATAATAAAAAAACAACGTATCTGTAAAGGAAGAAAAAACACTCCTGGTATATTAAAACTCTTCCCATGCAAAGACTACCACATTTACTTATGAAATTGTCTGAGGAGAAAATGGGAAAAGGGAGTTCAAGGACAATTTCCATTGTCATCTTTTTTTTAACAAAAAGGAGATTAATCCAATTTCAAAAGATTTTATTTTTATAAATACTACCTCCTAATTACTTGTAAGGGGCCAAAAATCTTCATAGGATACAGATATTCAGTTGAGGCCATAGGATAAGAAGGGTGCTTTTAAGAAACTAATTACAAATTTTTACAGGCTTCCCTATACTAACCACGATCTAATTTTTTACAAGTTGCTCTGTTCATGAAACTCAGAAATTTTTCCTTCATTAAAACCGATAATTCCTGTGATGGTGTTTAGAAAATAAGGTGGGGGGTGAAATCACTTGCATTAAAGAACGAACACCAGGTTGTGATCACATCCACGCTAGCTAAGTGGTTTCTCTCTCCCACCTCCCCACATTCCCATTCCCATTCCCAAAGTCTCAGCTAGAAAAACCCCAAGTCCATCCCTTTTATCAACGAAAAGTATTTCCTGTCGGATGCCCTCCACCCCCGCCTTAACCCCCAATAGATTAAAATTAAGTAAAACAAAGGAAGGAGCTGGATGGCCGTTGAAGGTTGTGGGGTAGAAATTTAACAATAAACAGAACTTCGAAGAGTCCCCAAATCTCATGCCCCGGCCTCCCTTCAGCTTGCAGTCTTTTAACCGTCGCCCAGTCGCCCGAGATGCGCCCGGAATCGCTCCCCAGCAGAAATCTGCTGAAGGCTGAGGGGAGATTGGGAACCAGGAGGACAAGCCAAGAGCGCTGGGTGGCGGGACTCACCATGGCATTTGATGTCGCTCTGGGAATCCTCCCGCTTGTCGAGTTTGGTTTTGCTGTCCTCCTGCTCGAGCTTTGGCCTGAAGCTCTCGTGCACTGCGTTGCTCTCCTGCTTCGGGGTGTGGTGGGGAGAGGATACACTGGTGCTGTAGGGTGCACATGCCGCCAGAGGTTTGCTGTCGCCCAAGATGTCCTTAATTAAAAAAGAAGACGTAGAAGTCCTGGGGGCCGAGGCGGCCAAGCCCAGCTGCTGGGCGGGCGGCGGCGGCTGCTGTGGCGGCGGCTGCTGTTGGGGCGAAGGCTGCAAACTTTGGGTCGGGGCCGCGGCCGGTGGCGGCGGCTGCTGGCTGTGGTGGAGGTGGTGATGATGCTGGGTCGCGTCTGCTACCAGATGCTGCTCCGGGGGCTCCATGGTGACTGAAATAGGAGAAGAAGGCGCCGTCCCTACGGTATCAATCTCCGAACAGGGAGATGGGCTGGCCTGACTCCTAAAATCCGCGGTCCTGGCCTCACCGAGCGGGCGGAAATCTCCATTCATCATGCCCGGGCTGCCTGAACTGGCACTGGATAAAATCGTGTCTATTCCAAAACTCGACCCGCTGGCCCCTTCCATTGTTGTCATTTCTACATGAGGTCCACGCCACTCCGCCGTTCAGCAGCCGCCCGGAACCAGCGAAGGAAGCTATCGATCGTAAAACAAAATAAACACCAAACAATGTTGCCGCCGCTTAAAAAAAAAAAAAAAAAAAAAA